TAAGCTAGTCAAAGACCGAACCGGCTCGACTGCAATGCCATCCTCTCCAACAGTAGTCGTTGATGAAGCCCCAATGTCTGTGACACCGCCAACAACACCACCTGCCCCTGACATCACTAGCTTTAGTCGAGCTCCAGACAAGGTAGTGGTTACGACGACCACTTCGTCGCTTCTGCCCCCAACACTTTCCATATCGTCCTCGGAAGCAGCAACAAATGATGCAAGAGAGGAGATGTCAGGTTTGACTGAGATAGCTGGGGAAGGGGATGTGTTGACAGGATCTCAGGATCTGGATAAGATAATCACGGTAGTCTTGAATCGTAAGCCACTCAAGCACATAGATGCAGAATCTAACCGGCTGGGAGATATTCACTCAGCAAATGAGCAAATTTCTGCTTCTCCCGAGTCTTGCTTACTTATTGGGGGGCGTGATGATTCATTAGAACTGCCAGAGTCGGTTCATCCACCAGGTCAAGTTGAAAAACGTATTCCAGGCCCTGGTGATGGGGTCTCTGGCGCGGAATTACATCAACCTCCATCGCGAGAAACTGTCGTGAGTGTCTGTTGCCTCAATTATTTTGTTTATGCTCATTGGCCCGTGCACATTATTTCACATGATTTGCTTTTAGTTATTTATACAAAAACTCTTACATCCTCATCTTGTAAGCTTCCCCTAACTTGATCACGCCTTTCAGACCCGAAGCTGCTCCAATAACAGTAAATGTAGTTAAGTTCTCCGGCCACGCTATGGTATCTAGGTTTCAGCCTGTTGAATCGCTTAGATGCAACTTAGCGCCTTTGCTTGTAACTCATTTTATGAGGCTGTTTTTCTTTTAATCAGTTGGTTGTGTCGGTGTCATCATATTTTCTTGTCTCAAGCATGGTTTGGATAAATATTAGTATTATATATAATGAAATTTTCGGTTATCTGATAAACAACTTGTATCGATTGGAAGGTTAAGTTATATGGATAGGCTAGCCATCTCGCATAAGATTTCTTGCACAATATTTTCGACTTATGAAATGTGCTTTTTTACTTGCGCTAAACTCCTGGGGTATACTGGCAAAAAATCTTGGTCAGCGATCCAGTATAAGTCTATAGTAAACAGTTGGTTTGTAATCAATATGCGGCCACTTCTCTCTACGTTCAGCGCATTCACATGAAGACAAAAAAGCTCATCAACTTAACTACACGTGTGTCCGACCTTGCGTAATCGGATGGTTAAAAATATATATACAGAGAGGTGTTGTGTTCATCAAATCTTGGTGGCCGAGAACAGACGTTATTTTTGCAGCCATCACTGCTAGTTTCGTACATACCCGAACACCTACAGAGACAAAGAAAGTCATGCTCTGAAGTTGACATATGACTGGAACTAACCAAATCCCGTTATACCTCATCAAAGAGCTCACATATAGGGTATATATATACGGCATTTTAGGGATGAACCGGTGAGTTTTCTTGAATGGTTAGCTTGAATATGGTTGTAAGGATGATATCCTGCTCCTATGATGTTCATCATACGACGGACGAAAGCCTAGCATGTTTTCACCGGAATCCACGGAGATTACCTCGAAAATGACGTGAACAAGAATGTTTCAGTAAAGCCAATGGACAGTTAGTTACGAGGAATTCACTGTCGTATTCTGGTGGGTTCGACCTTCGAATCTCTTTCACTTGCATTGGAAGTAAGCTCGACAATTATGAAACGAGAGATTCCTCGAAGCCTAACTTTTCTTCGCATCACTAGGCGAGTCATTGGTGTGTGTATTTAAATCGGGTTTCTGAGTCCTGATATGGGGATCAAGATTTTGAACGACGTCTAACTTAAGTAATTTGCCTAATGTTTTAGCTAGAACGTCTCATCTTGAAATACTGCTGACTACATACTTCAGCTTTTTGTCCATTTAATTTCTTAAAATAGTACATTTATGATCCAAATACCTGATATATTTCTACTGGCTGTGTCCGGTTTGTCTGTAAAAGTTTTATTTCGGCAGCTGAATGCGCCGATTTTGGATATTCCTTTCTCATGTAACCTTTAAAAGATCCTTTGATCGGTCCAAAATGTTGAATGTCAATTTCTTCATTTGAAGAGATCGATTTGACTCTGTTTATTTTATAAATCTATACTGTCCAAGTTTATAGGTTGAGGCACCAAGCTTATATAATCATATATATTAAGAACTGGGTTTTGAAGAATTCCTTAGTGACATATTGTTATCAACACTTTCATTTTGAAGGAAAAGTTGGTTGGAAGGAATTAGTGATGTGGTCCCATCGGAAGCCGAAGGAGGATTGCTGCATAGTGAAAACTGTTGTATTTTAGGAAGAAGTCCTCTACTCACCGTCCTGCGACCCCGACGAATCTATTCTACATTTTCGTCTGTACTGTGACATACATCATCAGAGCAAGCATCCATACTTTAAGAAATAGAGCAAAAATATAAGTAAACCAAGAGAAAAGCTGGCTGGCTGGCTGCAACCCTAGTCGCTTTTTATGCATCCAACCTTGCGATATTAATGAGGCGTATCATTATTTGGTTGGCTACCTCAGACTTACATTACATGCTTACGGATGAGTGAAGTTACTTCACAAACCGAAAGTTTGTTTGGTCGCAGCGTACAATCCTCTAATATTGACTCATCTGTGAGCGTGCCATTATTTATGTTGTATGTGTGTGTGTGTGATATTGATGTCATGAGAAGTGTGATAGTCATAGCTAAATTCGAGGCTTTTCCAGCCTCTTGTTCAATTGTTCTTCCTGCTCTCTCTCCTTGAGTCTATCCAACTGCCATAAATAATTTCCACTCAATTTTCTATACCCCTTTCTGTTCGGGAGGTTGGCTATTATGCTCATTTCTATGGACTCCTTAATCTTGCGCTTTGATGCCAAATCCACGTAACCAACAAAACGTGCTTTGGATCAGTCTATTGTGTAGCATGTAGACCCCCAGACGCATATGGTCTGCCCAAAATTCATATATAAGATACCCAACTTAAGATTATTGTAAATAATATAAATAGCGTGATGCGTAAGATATCACAGTTTATTTGTACTTAGTTAAAGCAAATCACCAAACTTGGAAGTTTTCGATGAGGCACTCTTACGACTTTATATAGTTAATTGATGATAAGACGATAAAAAGAGAAGTTTGCTGATATTCGAAGGCATGAAGACCAAGATGGTATGGCTTTTTGTATGGTTGTAGTCTATTTTCGTTGTATAGACGTTGTTTGATCTTGTTTTCGCAACTTGTTTAGCTGACAATTTGTCAAAGGATCGACTTCACTTATCTTTTTGACGAGTTATAGGGTGATGCTAAGAATGGCAAAGCTCACTGACGATGCCAGCGAAACGTCTGAGAATGTGCCAAGTCCATGTTTCGATTCTGGAAATTATGATGCTTACTATGGACTCCGGACTAGGTGCGTTCCTCTAGGTCTTCCTATCAATATAACTAAGTTGCGAGAAAAAGGTCAAACAATTTGCTGGTAAGTTTCGATTTTGTGTCTATTTGCACTCATCTTTCGATAAACGAGTCAATGGAGGCCTTAGACTTAATACAAGATCAACATCATGAGATCATAACAAGAAAAAAGTAAGACAAAGATTTAATCATTAAATAGAAGTTGTTTGACCTTGTTTTCGCAACTTGGTCATAATGGTAGGAAGACTTATA